GTCTCTTAATAAAAGAGGCATAGGAAGCTGGGCACTGCCATGGGGGACAATAGGGGCCAAATGTAAAAAAATGTATGTACAGCAAGGAAATACTGCTTTGAGGCCTACATCAAAGATATACAAATTCTTTAAATTACAGGTTTGGGGTTAAAGCTGTTTGTGGTATTTCAAAACAGCAATATGGTCACAGACAGCCTCAGAGAGGAGAAAGGGGAAAAGGGTGCATTAGTTATACTGAGAGACAACCGTTGAAGGTATAGAAGGTTATGTCAGCCAGTCAACTTTCTTCTGGGTGTGCTAGGACAGTATTGGTCAGTCACTTTTGGTAATAAAGGCACATGTACCCTACCTCCAGTTTGTGCAGCCCTATCACTGCTCTGTGCTGCAGACCCCTTCTACTTCTACCTGTAGCACCTCTGCCTCTCATTTTAGACCTGCCTTTCATTGCATAATGTTTTTGTAGGTAAATAGAATACCTAGTTTTTACTGAAACTATGATGATAGTGGGGTGAATGTCTAATATTCTTCATGAAAACAGTAGGTCCCCCTGCACTCCTTGCAGCGTTTCCGCTCCAAGTAACAATGGTGGTGCTCGCATTGACAATCACGGATGGCGCCGTGCACAGCAGTCAATGAAGGATAGAAATCACCAGCACTCAGCGACTGAGTGCTGGTGATTTCTATCCTTCATTAATATTCTTCATGCACACTAGTTACCACACACAAATGCAGCAGAGGGCTGTGTACAAGGGAAGGTCCAACAACTGATCAGCAGCAAGTGCATGCTGTGCACTCGAGATTAACAAAAGGCATGATTAAGACAAAATCAAATAGACTACACCCCACCAAATGATACCTAATAAATCACACAAAAAGCTGCAAATGGTTGGCACAGAGGGAAGCAAGCAAGCACTCTTGCTTCTGATACAGAAAAAAGTATTATAAAAAAGAAAACTTAGGTCTATGGAAATTTAAACATGGGGTGGGTGGGTAACTCAAGGGTATGTAGCTCATAGACTGCAATCTACTATATAGCGCTCTAAAGCAGTGTATAGCACAGTACACCACTGCATTATTATAGGACTGTATAGCACAGTAAAGTACAGTATAGCACTGCATAGAACTGTCTTGCACAGTATAGCATTTTATACCAATATATAGCAAAATATTTCTCTCTACACACATTTCCCTAACCAGCTCCAGCACACACTGACATGGATGCTGGAAGTGTATGTTCATCTTTATTTGTAGTATTGGAAAGAATAAGAATTAATTAGACCCCCGTCTTTTTTTTCTTGCTGTGTCTGCCCCAGCTAGGTATGTTCACCTTCTCTATGTGTCCAAGAGGTGAGTATAAATATTTTAAAGGTGACACCTGTTCTAGTGACAACTGCCTAAAGAAGGTAAGGTTAATCTCCATTAGAGGATATAAACAACTAAAAAAGAACTGAGAGGGAGTTTAATCCTTACCAACTCTATCCATAACTTTAAAAAATGTTTTGGCTAGACATTCATTTTAATATTAACAACACATTTGCATCAAAGTAATCTAAAAATCAAGCTGTTTTTCAAGAATATGCACATGTATTATTAACAATGTGCATATAACCCAATGGTAGGTTTATCATCAAAAGCCCTACGATACAAAATCTCATAAATACCCATGTCTACAACAATACAGAAATGTTATATGTATAGCTTATTATACTTATTCATCACTTAATCTAACAAAAAACATTTGACTGTTGACTTCTGATATCATATGTGGGTATAGGGATTCTTTTGATTTAGGCATGCATATGGTCTTATTCAAAGGAGCAGTGTAAAGTGTGGCAACCTATTACCATGACTGATCAGATTTCACAAAAATGTGGTCAGATCAGTGAAATATGGTTTCTAAATAGCTTTTATGGATTACTTTACTATGCACATTGTCCTTTACCCTATTATGCTTGATAAAGTAGGATCTCTTAACCACAAAATAAATATATTATTTCTTACCTTGAAACTGGGTAAATTTGATGGTTCCCATTCTTTCTCCATTTCTGAACACAACTTGCCCCTGAAAAGAAAATATGTATAATATTTAGAAAACCAAGTAATAAGTTAAATGGGTATGTGATATTTACTGCATTTGCTGTTTATATTAATAACAATTAATTTCTTTACTGCATATTTATAAGAATAACACGGTTCCACAAGAAGATAAACTGTATTGATTCCCAACATATATAGCTGCCGTGTTCAAAGCCCAAATCACATACAGAAAATCCACACTACACTGCTTTGTTCATCCATGGCATAACTGGATTTATAATAATGTTAGCTTTTTGATATATTTTTTTTAACTTCCTTGGTCTTGCAAAAAGAAGTACATTAGAATTAATAGCCAATATTTGTAAGTGTTGTTGGGAACACAAATGGTTTTTTTTTAACCAGTAACAGTTGAGTAGTATACATGATATGGTTCAATGTGCACTAATAGTGCATCTTTCTGGGGCATCTGCTCTCTTCTTCAGGTAAAAGAAGTACTTTAAGGTAGTGGTTCCCAACCTTTTTTTTATTTTTTATACTCCCTTTGGCAGGCTATTTCCATAATTTGTAAACCCCCACCCTGGGACAGAGGTGGAGTAGGGGGCAGGGCCTGTACCATGCTGGTACATGGTACAGGCCCTGTATTGTATTGGCTGATAGACACTGATATATGTATTGACCAATACTGGAGTGCAGCAGTATTCCTGAGCCCCATTCCCTCTCCAGTGTGTGTGTGACCTGTTGCCTCTTCCACTAACCATGTCTGCACCAATTAGCTTTATGATGCTGTCCTAAAAGGGGCTATGACTAATGGGTACACAGTGGTTTGCATTCTGCAGGGAGTAGACATCATAGTCTGCTACAAAACGGAGAAGCCACCTGGCATGGTGAGAAGAGCAGGCACTGTTACAGACAAGAAGCGAAAATAAGTGAGGAGCTCCCACAGTTGACACTGATGTGGCCCACCCAGGATCAGCTTTATGGATTTCTATGGTGTGGGCAGGCCAGCACCATAACAACCAATTATGCTATGTGGCCAGGCTTGCCTGCACCATGGAAAAGACACTGGCCACCTCCATCCTATTGTAGGGATGTAGTATTTTTGCTAAATTCCTTTTTGTATTTTTGTGAAATCTGTAGTCAGTAGTGGGCTGTACTCAGCCTAACTGTACTTCAACAGGAGTGTTTCCCTATGCTCAGAGTGAACTTTCTCTGCCGCATGCTGTTTAAGCTTGCTCCAGCAGGGCAAGCTGGAAAAAGATATATGACTCTGTGTTAAGGATATCTGGTAGCCTGGCCAATCAGTGGGTCTGGTGAACCTGCTGAGGCATGCTGGGAGAACTATTAACGGTCTGAGTTTTTTTCCTGTTCTGTCATACATACCCCCTGAAGGTACACATCTGCAGGTTGGGAACTACTGCTTTGGGGTATCATTTCTGGACATTGTATTTTAGCTAAACCATAACAGGGATTTCCATTGATCAAATAATTTGTGTGTGCGCTCATCCATTTTTACATACAGGTCATCATTCACAGATACTGTATATGCTTGACTGTATGATTGAAGCACTGACTCCTGTCAAACATCAACATTAATGGGATACATGCAAAATGTCATAGAACCTGATTTTACCATAACATTAGTTGTTTCACCTAACACTGCAAAGAGAAATTAGAAAAAAAGTAATTTAAAGTGTATTTGCACTTTTGCATGCCTTCCCCCGCCCGACACCCCTGCCTTGTTTCTTGGGCTCCGCTGCCCCTCCAGCGGGTTTGGGACCAGCATCTCAGGTATCAGCAAGAAGCAGGGAAGGAGTCCGGCTCAACATCTGTTCAACGATCTCCTCCCCGCTATATGGGACTAGAAGCGACGCTGACTGCATCACTTCCTGTGCTATTGGAGCATAGATCACGCTCCAATAGCTTATTGCTCGGCTGCAGAAGCGGAGCAATAAGCTATTGGAGCGTGATCTGTGCTACAATAGCTTATTTTGAGTGGAAAGGTGACACTAGGAGTCTAATTGACCCCTAATGTCACCTTACAGATGACCTGTCACCACTAGTATGCTTGTAAGACCCCTTAGGTTCCAATTAGGGATGCACCGATACCACTTTTTTAAGGCCGAGTACTAGTACCAATACTTTTTTTCAAGTACTCGCCGATACCAATTACCGATATCACACAAATATGCACGGAAAACAGCTAACATTAGAATGGAGCCTTATGTGATAGTAATTAAGTAAAAAAACTTTAAAAAAACAAGATTAAATAAAATAAATGTAAAAATGAAAACAAAATTTAAGTCCCACGCCCCCGCGAGTGCACACATATTAACGTAAACATGCGCTGGGTTCTCTCACGTACGAAAACAACAATTGTGCTGCACATGTTAGGTATCGCCACATGTGACAGAGTGGGAGCAATAATTCTAGGGCCAGTATTCATGGATATCTCTAAATATAATCAGTATTATATTGTGGTGTTGGGCACTAAAATTAACTTAAGTGCATTTTTATTAACATTTTTTTATTTGATAAAGAGTTGTGCTAATATCTTGCAACTGTCTCTATTTTATTCCACAGGATCTATGCTTTCAGAAAATATATAATGTTTGATGGTTTTAAGTAAATTTCAGGCCTAAGATGTGGATTATAACATGTGTGCAAAAAAACTGAAAAAAAGACCTTGGCAGCAAAAGGATTAAAGCTGTCTGCGATAAACAAGAAGATTTTAATACAAAAAACTCCCATGATCACTCTGTTCACTGGACATAACATTCACATAAGTCCAGACACTCCCTGGCACTTTAGCACAATAGCTAGGTGATGTCCTCACCTCTTTTGCCTCTCTCGTTCTTTGAGAAGTGTTTGTCAAGATGATAAAGGCTTCTCACTTCCTTCTGCCTTCTTTACAATGAACAAAAATCGCTGTTTATCAACAAATCACATTTATTCTACTCAGTATAAAATAACACTATGATGACTATGAGTCATCATCATGTCCTCATTTTTCCTTCTCAGTAAGTAATCAATGGGCTGTGTATACATTATAGGTCACTGATAAAAAAAGACCAAATGAAGATTTTTATCAAAGCAACTTTTTTTTATCAATACCCACAGGGCCATTGATTATACACAGAGACAGAGAAATGATGACAAATGACTCATTGGGGGTGATTTACTAACCTAAACACACACACACACCAGGTGTGTGTGATTTTCACACAGCAAAACGTATTTATCAACCAAAAAGTCTCTAAAAGCATATTTCCACTAATGCCATATATGGAAAAATCATGCACATGATGCATATATAATGCTGCTTCACAGTTTAGACAAAAATGGTTAGCTCATGCATTTACATTCCTGCATTCATCAACGCAAGCAACATAACATAGAGCTAATTTACACCACATTACCTTGCAATTCATTGCAGGGCTTTGCACAACACACCTGCTGGGTGTGTACACACTACAAAGGTGTTTCGATTCCTCCCATAGATCATGCTGGGAGGGAACACACTACAGAGGTGTATACACGTTCGTGGTGTGTTTAAAAGGTTAGTAAATCCCATTGTGTAATCGTTCCACACAGAAAAGAATAAGTTGTGTTCAATAAATAAAAAGGAGAAGATAATTTTAAAAAATGTAAAAAATATTTTTTTCATTTTTTTGACTCCATTGCATTTCTCCTATAGGCCAAATTTTGCTAAACATTTGAATATTTCCCTGAAATTTTGGTAAGCAAAATCGCCCAATTTCGCTCATTCCTAATCAGCATAAAATATTTTTTTTACAGTTTGCTAAAACAAAAAAGGCATATGTGTAGAATGTGGCACTTCACTGTGAATAAAAGCAATAACACAATACAGTCAATATTTGTCTGGCAGCAACAACAATAAACTAATTAAACTAACTAATCATACCTATATTTTTTCTTTTAAATGACAACCAGCATAGGAGATTGGGGTCTGATTTACTAAGGCCATACGCTTTATATCTCCCCTGGGATGCAAAAGGGAAGCCACAGCCTGATTTATTAAGACCTTACATGGTGAGCAAAATTATTGTGCATGCCCAGTTCTGAGCAATGCAGATGTGAATTTACTAAAGCGAAGCATCTACTTCTACAGTTAAAGCGTGCATCCTCCTAACTCACAGAGGGTAAAATTATTTCAAAGTTTTAATGTTATATAAGCTCCATTTCTAGTTATATATAAACAATCAAGTTGAAAAATAAACACTGACATCAAACATTAGGTTTAAAGAAGAACCCTGCGCAAATAAATTCTTAACTCTTGCAATGGCGCTACCCCTGCACTGTAAGGATTGAAGTAGTATTAAAGTCTGGGTGTTTTTTTTACCTTAATGCATTCTCTGCATTATGGCAAAAACACCCAGTAATTTTCTAACCCCCACACTTACCTGCAGCCGCTTGTATTCTCTGCCACGACCGGGAAGATACTCGATTCCCTGAACTTCCTGGTTGTGGGGCACGGTACTGAGGGCAGAGGAGCCATAGGCTCTTTCTGCCATCAGTCAAACCGTGACTGTAAGGGTGGGGGCATGGCCGGCCACACGCTGTGTGTGTTTTTAGAGGCACACAACTCGGGTGCCTCCACAGCAGTTGGCTAGCTCATGGAGGCACCCATACATGGGGGAGGCTAGCGGTTTGGATTAGGGTTGCCACCTGTCCAGGATTCACCTGGACAGTTCGGGTTTTGAGTTCTGTGTCCAGGTTTCATGGCAGAAGAAACCCGGACACAAGATGTTAGGCAGACAGGGGTAACCAAAATTAAAATAGAGGCTACTGACCCCCCACTGAAAATAGTCACAACTGTGATATTTATACATGAATCGGCGAAGCTATTTACATATGAATAAACTATGACTTATTCTCCCAAAAACTGTCCGTGCGTCGCTAGCGTGTGTTTGGGTTTCACTTGAAGAAAAGGTGGCAACCCTAGTTTGGATACCACTGGAGAATGAAGAAATGAAAGAATAAAAAAAGTTTTTTAAAGTAAATCTG